GTAGTCGCTCAGTTCCGCGACTATCACGCAGAGAAGTTCTCAGGACAGGGAGACCCACGCATCGTTGATGAATGGATTCAGGGGTTGGAGTTTATCTTTGAGGTTAATGAATGCCCCGATAGGTATCGCGTAGTTTGCGCTCAGCTTCAGCTCACTGGTGATGCAAGGCTCTGGTGGAACGCCTACTGGAGCATGCGTCCCGGTGAAAAGACGGGTTGTACATGGGACATGTTCAAGAATCTAGTCCGTGACAAGTACTACCCTTCCTACTATCGGGCAGAGATGGAGCGCCAGTTCTTAGCGCTTCAGCAGGGTACTCGTACAGTCGACGAGTACGAGCGAGAGTTCACCAGACTTGCAGGTTTTGCACCGGATCTTGTTCGCACGGAGGCCCAGAGAGCGCAGCGGTTCATTGACGGACTTTACACAGCAGTCCGTCATAACATCGTGGGACACGGGACTCAGACGTAGGCACGTGCCGTTTCTATCGCCCAGGAGGTGGACGCTAGTATCAGGAGGGAGGCAGTTCGTGATCGTGCCCAGCCATCTGCCGCAGCTCAGCCATTTGCAGCTCCACCAGCTTTACCAGCCCCTCAGCCAGCCAAGGAGAAGAAGAGGAAGGGAAAGGGTGCACAGACCGATCGGAGGACCCGACAGAGACAGCAGCCGATTCCACCGTGCCCGACTTGTGGTCGACTTCACAGGGGAGAGTGTCGTGCTGGACAGGACATCTGTACTATTGTCAGGAGCCAGGACATTTTGCGAGTCGTTGCCCGAAGAAACTCCAGCAGCAGCCTCAGCAGCCGCCACAGCAACAGCAGCCACGACAGCAGGCGCAGAGGCTGCCTCAGCAGCAGCAGCAGCAGAGGGGGAGGCAGCAGGCCAGGGTTTACGCGGTCAATCAGGCGGAGGCAGCACAGCAACCAGGTACTATGTCCGGGATGGTTGTTCTCAACGATATTCCTGTGTTCGCTTTATTCGATACTGGAGCGACGCATACCTTCATTTCACGCCGATGTATCGATGCCATCGGAGTTCACGCAGTTACCGCTGTCGATCCTCTCGAGGTGAGCTTAGCCTCGGGACGAAAGATAGTGACCTCAGCTAAAGCCTCAGATATTAGCCTTTCCATCGGTGGCCGAGTATTGACCGCCGACGCGTTCGTTCTCGAGATGAATGATTTCGATCTTATTCTCGGGATGGATTGGCTATCTTTCTATCATGCTGACATCAGGTGCCATGACCGGGAGATTACTCTCTATCTTCCGGAGGACGAGTCGATTACTTTCTTCGGCTCCAAGAACCGTTCACTGCCTCATGTTATATCGATGGCAAAAGCCACTAAGCTATTGCGACGAGGCAACTGCCAGGGTTACCTGGTAAGCCTTGTTGAGGATTCTCAAGGAGCGCGGACACCTCATGATGTTCCTATCATTCGCGAGTTCGTTGACGTCTTTCCAGACGAGCTTCCAGGAGGACCGCCCAATCGT